CCCCAAAACCCCAAAACCCCAAAACCCCAAAACCCCAAAACCCCAAATTACTAAATTATTGTTGAATCTTTAATCCTTTTTGGTAAGGAACTTAATACCTCTGATCTTGGCAAAAGCACCCTTGAACTTGCTCAATGCTGAGGTGAGAATTAACTTCTTTTTCTCTTTATGGTCAACTCTTTGGAGGAAGATTCTAACCCATTTTGGTTTAGTAGAGATAATAGCATGCAAAATGAAGATAGCTATGATTAGTAAATGCTCGATTCCGATGAAGTATGAACTACTCTCACATCCTTGTGACACTACTCCGTCAGCTGTCTTGTGGAATGAAAACAAGAATAAATTTGTAAACACGCTTGTGAAACTGATCAGCTTCATCACTTCATCCCATATCCCGATGTCTGATGTGTTCAGACTTAGTGGTCTCCTGCATAGCTTCTCAATTTTGTAAGCATCTGATCTCCTCTCGAAAAACAGAAACACATATGTGATGAAGGCGCCCAATGGAAATGCGACTGCAAACATAGACACATACCCGAACTGTATGACCAGTTCAAGGTAGTCTTCGAAGTAAGTGTACTCAGGCAATGTAAGCTCGTTGAGTTCCTCTTCGATGGCCGAGCCAAACTTCTTGTCGAAGTGTAGTCCATACTTCATGAAAGTCGGCAAAGCTGACTCACTGAAGATCCTTCTGGCTTCATCGACCAGAGCGAGCACGATGAGTTCTTTCTTGAGTCCATCAATGTCTCTTCTCTGGAACGCCACATAGAACAAGTGGCCAAAGTAAAACAGAAAGTTGAATGTGAACTTCTTGATGTTGACTGAGTTGATGTGGGCTTCTTTGGTTTTGTGGTTTTCTCTGACTGTGGCATACTTGGCAGCTGACTCATAGAACACTCCTATCGTGATCATGGTGATGCTCATGAACAGCGATGGGATGTTGGCCATGAGAGTTCCTTTCTCGAAGATCCCACCTTGACGAGCCATTTGAGCGAAGAACTCCCAAGCAAGAAGGTCATCTTTGTCACTGTAACCCATCATGTTGAGAGAGCTAATCATAACAATAAAGGCAAGAGTCATGAAAGGCGTTGAGATTATGAAAGATTCAATGTATCTCAATAATCTTTGGCTTGATGGATAATGATCTTCTTCCAAATCAGTAACAGGGTTGATCCTAATATCTCCTTTGAATTCTTGTCTAAAGCTTACTGCACTTGTTGAAAGGTTGTAGTTATCCCACTCAATATCGATCTCTGAGCATCTTCTTCTCCAGAATCTCACCAACATAGGAGACCAAATAGTGATTCCTACTGCAAACATATAGTTAAACAAAGTATTGTCTCTTGCATCAGCATTGAAGAACTCCCCAAGCCAAAGAATGATTGAAATTATAGAAGGGACTAGGAGCCATCTGGCCATGAAGTTACACCATTCAAAGTAAATTGCTACCGATTCTCCATAGTAGCTCCTTAAGTCTTCGACAGGAGCTTTGTACTGCTTCATGACGCTTTCAAATAGAGGCTTGTAGTTCTCCTTGCTTCTAGATCTACTGTGCAAAGGTACCATTTCAGTGATGTATCCATGCTTAAGAAGATAAAATATCAAAGCCTCATTTGGAAGAGGAGGATACACATTTACAGGAAGAGCCTTGTAAGAATTAGATGTGCTCTTAGTCAACTGTAGGGATGAAACTAGCTTATAAACACACAAATTGATCTCCCCATCAGTGAGAATAGTATTGAAATCACCGCCTTCATACTTTTCTTTTTCTGCTACTTTGAAGAAATCTTTTTCTTCATGTTTGATAATACGTGCGTCTAGGTAATCAATCTTTTCCCTCTTATCCTTATCATATGCTGTTTGATCATCAGGCCTTTTGAATTTTCTGAAGCGAAGATTCTCAGCTTCCCTCAAAATAGCTCTTTCGTCATCGTAAGCTACAAAGATAACTCTGGCATTGCTTGGCTCTTCAAGAATGATTGTATCGCTCTCTGTTTCCTTGGTTAACCTGACTTGCTTGCCTGAACATTCAGCTAAAGATATTCATAAGTATGCCAAAAATTGGTGTAGTCAGGGCTGAGGAGTCTACAAACTTACCTAGAACAGTGTCAAATCCTTGTTCATCGAGGTCTCTCATAATAGCCCTGGCTATTTCTTTATTGCACTTGGTTTTGAGAACAATGGCAAGATCATGCCTTCTCTTCAAACTCTCTTTATATTTTTCCTTAAGCATTAGTTCTTCCTCTCTCTTTCACTCTTCATCAAGCTCTTTCTCATCTTCTGGAAGAATAGGTGCTATATAGCCAAGGTGAAATAGACGTAGAGCAATCGATAAATTATTTAGAGGTTAGTGAAGAAGAACTTCCATCTTAGATATCCTCAGCTTCATTAAAAGCTAGTTTTACAACATTTAAAACGTATTTGATTGAATAAGCTCTTATGGCAGCTTTATTAGGACCCATTAATTCTTGTTTGAGTTTATACTTACCGCTGATGATCTTGTCAGTTAACTGATTAAGCTTCGTAGAAGCTCGCCCTCCTGTCAAATTGCTCATAATTTTATAAAAACCAAGATTTTCAAACCATATTGGGATTTTAGGGGTTTTGGGGTTTTGGGGTTTTGGGGTTTTGGGGTTTTGGGGTTTTGGGGTTTTGGGG